TTTGAATGGATGAGGGGAATAAATGGCTTTTAGTGAAGCATGACTCTTGAAACACAAACACAGACATCTTTCTACCTCAATAAGGAAGCAACCTACCCTCTCTGCCAAAATCTATGAAATAATTATGTTACTCGGATCTTGTCCATGATGTCAAGAGAAGTTGTGTTGGAGGAAAATGATATCTAAATTCTGGAAAAGACTACCGTCCGGTCACGGAATGGTTTCGTGAGAGATTTTAACTTTTAGATATGTATACAAGTTAGTTCTCTCACCGAACTATTCTGTAATGGGACTGTAGTCTTTTTCCTAAATTCTATATGAACTATGAAAAATAGTATTATGATAATAACTATTGTGACGTGGCATGAGAAAGGCTCCACGTAACTAAAACGATGAATTGAGTCAATTTGTCATTGGTGGAGTTGGGCTGATGTGAATCTTTCACTACTTGGGCCAACTAAGACACTAGGCCCAATTATCGAACCCAATGGCTACACTAACGCCCAAGATTGTAAATATTTGAGAATTTGGTGAGAGATGGCCGAGATTTAATTGCCAATTTATTCTGATTCTGTCTTCTTCAACCACCAAAGGACACTGCTCGCACCCGACGATCGGACGACAGATCCGGTAGCTGACTGGAGACGACAATCACGAATCTATTGCTCATCCAACCAAGAGCGTAACCAGAATTATCTTCGACACTGGGCTACTAGAACTGATTTGTTGAGGAGTACCGAGTACACCTCAGTTTGACTTGTAAAAAGTCAATCTTAACTCATTCACATAAAAAAAACATAAACTGAAAATTAAATTCAAAGAGTGGAAATTAATTAATTACACTCAAATTGTTAAATTTTCTGAGCCAAACTTGCTTGTTTATTATACGATCATAAGTTCGAACACGATGTATTCGACTCAATTTGGCTTCACTAATATCACTACTATTATGTGTAAAAATTCAAAGTATGATAATTTTTTATTAATGTAAATTACAAAATGAATGAAAAACAAATTATTAAGTATATGTCACGTTGTTTTAGTAAATTGAAAACACCTTATGTTATTTTTTAGACGTATTTATATGAAATCGGTTGCATTTTACTCAAACTTATAGATTTTTTTATATATATTGTATTTTTTAATCAAAAAATAGTACTGCCGCGTAAATTCTTCTTGCCTACTTAAATTAAATAGGTCAACCCAATATATTTATAATTTGATATTTCACTTAAACTGTGGAGATCATATTATTGAATAGATAGATTAACCCTACATACTTGTTATATGATATTTTCATTTAAATTGTGGAATTCCAAATATGCTACGCAAATTAATGAAATTAAATTATATATTTCACATATTCAAATATTATTCATTTAAAAGTTAACAAATTATTGATATATTTTACAGATAAAGTAATATAAATTGATCGTGTCTTAAACAAAATATTAGAAAAAGAAAATAAAAGAAGAAAAATGACAAAGTAAGCTATAACCACAAATAAAATACATAAAAAGTTTGAGTCATGTAAAAAAATATGTATAATTTTTTGGTTTAATATAAAATAAATTTCAACTAATATGAACTAAATAATTTTATCATAAATTAAATTAATAAAACATGGAATAAATTATTTTATTAATACTACATATTCATATAAGACAAAAAGAAATTAACACCGGGTTGGAGCCCGGGTGAGCCCACCCCTCCCTCCGCCCCTGCGTCCAACGGCGGAGGTGGGGATCAGGCCGATAACCATGACTGAAACATACTGGGCGCAAATTTAAGAGAAGCACAAAATTACAAAAAAAGATAAAAGAAAGAAAGCATTTTTACCTTTCTTTGTGCCATTTGTAGGTATAAAACTTTTAATTAAACATATCAACAAAGCAAATACGAAATGTAGACATTATATGAAAATAAATCCCACCAATGTGTAACACATAAACACACACACACACAACCTATGCTACCTGAACTCAGATATGGGTGCGTATCGGGTGTGGAGATATGAGCGTCCGACTCGTCAATAGTTTAGAAATCTTGAACATTTTAAGCTAAAATGCCACACCCGACACTCATACTCACACCAGTGTCGACACAACATGACACGGGTATTCTTCCTAAATAGAAGAGTCTGGGTAACATAGCACACAACAACTAAAATTTTACCAATCTTGGAGTTTTTTAATTCACGAACGCAACTGACGACTGCAATTAGACTATCTTAATCACAATCTTGATCCACTAATGATAATTAATAACTTTAATTATTCCTTACACCCAAGTTTTCAAGTGCGTATTAATAATTTTGCAATAAAAAAAAAGTTGTACATAACTTCCTAGAAAGTAACAACTCATCTGCCTTCTTAATATATCTTATTTTCTTCCAAATTGCTTTCAAGCAACGTCAATGGCGTGTGAAGAAGAAGAAGAAGAAGATAGCTTCTGCGAAAATTATCTAGTCATTAAACCTGAAAAGGCCAGTTGGTTGGACTTGTTCAGAATATTGTTTTCGAGCAACTTAGAACGAAGGGATTTTTTCGATTGCCCGGAAGAAGGTGTGTTGAGCCGTTTCGGCCATAGATGGATTGTTTTCATCTCTGTACTTGTTCAGAAAGTGCTGCTTTTTATGAAAATCCCGCTGGCGGCGGTGGGCACGGTGGTGGAGTTTTTTCTGAATTTACCGGCGGCCAATGGCGGCTGCCGCCGCCTATTCTTCAATCTTTTGACAGGTACTATGATTAGTTATTTGCATGCAACGTGGTTTGTGGAAGAAAAATGGAATATTATACTTAACGTAGTTATGTGATCTACTTCATATTCTTTTTAAATGTCATTTTATCATTATTAACTATTAACAAAATAAATGTCGTTTTGGGTATTTTGTACATATTTTTTCATTATTACACTCATCTAGCTAATAAATACACTACATATTTTCATATTCATTCTTCATCTTTTTTAATTAACATTTCTGCATCTTTAATATTTATTGTAATTAATTAGACTAGTTTTTTGTAATATCATTCTCACTCAAAACTACTTGAACGCAAAGCAAGTACCATATATCTTTTCTATCACAAATTATTCTTTTCTTGCTTTTTCGTTAATTATTGATCAACAACTATACCTTCATTAATAACAATAAGGTTCACTTTCAAATTAAATTGTCACATTGTACCAAAAAAAAAAATTAAATTAAATTATTACATTTTATAAACAAACGAAACAAGTTTTATGACATTTCATAGTATAAGTAGATTGGTGTTAATTAAATTTATTTTACAGGTCTATCTACTTAACGATTAAGTCGTTTCATACAATAATAATTTATGTTCCAAGAAAGTTAAATAAAACAATAAATATAAAGATAGAAACAAATTAATTAAAATCATCGAAACAAATTAATTAAAATCATCTCCCACGATTATGACGATTTTTTTTTTTTTTTGAATTTATAATTTAGGGAGGGTTGTGATACCAGATAAAACATCAGCAACATTTAAATCAACGGCTGCAAATGTGGATACAAGATTGGAATTAGACACAAATATTGCAATTGAGAGCAATAAATACAACGCAGCCCTGGCGATGATGGCATCAAAACTATCCTACGAAAATAAATCATTTATTCGAAATGTTATCACGAATCATTGGCGGGTATGTATTTAATTTATTACGTTAATTACAAATTTTTAATTAGACTAATATTTAATTAGACTAATTATCAGGTCCAAAATGGGATATTTATTTGAATTAATGATATCTTCTTTCTTTGTTTTGTTTTTCTTTTCGATTTTATTGGCCAATTTGATGCAGATGGAATTCATCCAGTTCTACAACTTCTGGAATGGTAAGAACCTAATTAAATTCTAAATTCAAATATAAAAAATAAAAAAAATATTACAAAATACTAAATAGAATCTATCATATTCAGATTGTTCAAAAGAATATAAAAATAGACACTCGGAAAAAAAAATTAAAAAAAAAATGATACATGATTGAGTCACCATGACATGGCTAATTTTGTAATACTATATTAGATTTAAGGGAAATACTACGGTCTCGTTACGGAACCATTTCATCAGTTTGTAACCGTTAGACCATCATGTAACCGTCAAGAATAGTTAAACGGTTACAAATTTCGACGGAATAGTTCCATAACGAGAGCTACTATCTCTCTAGATTTAAAACTACTAAAGTGCAAAGAGTTAGTGGCTTATTTAGATTAACACGTAACTTATTTGATCATATAAACAAGAGTTTTAATTTCCTCAAATTTTATCAATATCTTTCTTCTTGCATATGCCAAAAAACTTATCCTACAATAGAAATAAGAAAAATTCACATCTTTTTACTGCAAACGAACTTGTAATTAAGCAAAATAAGACGATAATTGCTTCATTAAACTAACTACTGATAAAAAATAGATGGGAATCGTTTAATTAGTTGTTAATCACGTCGCTGTCTTAATAATAGTTTAGGAAATGCTACAGTTCGTTACGGAACCATTTCATCGAGATTTGTAATCGTTAGATCATCATGTAACCGTCGTGGATAATTTTCTAACAGTTACAAACTTCGGTTGAATGGTTCCGTAACGGAACCGTAGAATCTCCCAATAGTTTAAGTTGGTCGATCTATATATGTGGGCCCACTAGGACCACTACACTTGCCATTCTTTTTTTGTTTTTGTTTTTTTTTTTTTTT